TATATATATATATATATATATATATATATATATATATATATATATATTACTATTCCATAGCTGTATTATGTTTAAGAAAAATGTTATGTTATCAAAAACAACAATGTCACGTAGGTACTAATCTTAATAATTAATAAAACATTTTAAAAATTAGTCTTCGCGGCCGCGTCATAAAATATGCCTGCATTGATTCTTACTCTATGCCGGTAATGGTATGATTATTTGTGTATGTTTATATTTACAGATCCATCATGCCTCGAAATTATAAAAGAAAATCACTGCGGGCAACCACGTACTCCCGAGAAGATTTACAGGCCGCTGTGGAAAGAGTGAGAAATCACGAACTCTCTAATTATGCAGCTTCGAAAATATATGGTATTCCTTCGTCAACACTCAACGACCGAGTCCGAAATAAAACAGGAGTAGTTAGTCACACCCTAGGTAGACCACCAGCGATTCCTGTGGAAATGGAAGCTAGATTGGCACAATGTCTTCGTACAATGGAAAAATGGGGCTGGGGCCTATCGCGGACAGAAGTGAAGTTGATTGTCGAAGAATTTATTAAAAAAAAACCGTATAAAAACCCCATTCAATAACAATAAACTCGGTGATGACTGGTTTATTTCATTTCGGAAACGACATAATCTGTCTATAAAGAAACCGCAGCCTGTCGAGTATCTTAGAAAAAGAATGACAGACCCATTCGTAATTAATGAGTATTTCACTCTACTGAAGAACACACTTCAGGAGTTGAGCCTAAACGATCCACACAGGATATGGAATTTGGATGAGACCTCTGTATCATTGGATCCAAGTAAAACAAAAGTTGTTGGTGGAGTAAACAAACCTTGCACCAGAACTATATGTGGTTCTGGAAAAGAAAATGTAACCGTTTTGACCACGGTTAATGCGGCTGGAGGAAAAATTACGCCTTTGATAGTATTTAAAGGCAAGTACGTATACGAACAATGGATGGCGCAGAATAAAGAAACGTACGATTTTGATATATCTTACGCCGCGAGTAGTCGTGGTTGGATGGAAACAGAAATATTTTACAATTATATGTCTAAAATCCTAATTCCTGGTTTGGGACGTGAGAGACCGGTGTTAATAATATACGACGGCCATAGCACTCACGTCGATGACAGAGTTGTGGCACTAGCAGCAGCCAACAATGTCACAATTTTAAAACTACCTGCACATACGTCGCATCTTCTACAGCCATTAGATTTAGCGGTATTTAAATCATTCAAAAGCTTTTGGGACAAAAAGCTTGTCGAATGGCAACGCAGCAATGTTGGCATTAAAATACGTAAACATGGATTTTCCGAAATGTTTGCGGAAGCGTGGCATAAAACCAGCCCAGAAGTTATTCAGAATGGTTTCAGAAAAGGAGGCATATACCCGTTTAACTCTGAAGTCATCAAAAAAGAACAATACGACCCGGCTGCTTACAAAAGATTTGCCATCCATCAATGTAAGATTTCAACAGATCCAAACACGTTGAAGCAGTTATGCATCGCTGTCATAAACCAAACTACATCTGCTTCGGAAGTTCAAATTCAGAAGGGCACACGTATTGAAAATCCTGCAAAGTCAATCGTCAGCACATCTTTTGAGGAACTTCTTCTCCAAAAACTTACACAGCAGTCTCGCAATCTTGACAATAAGAATGTTAAATTGAAACGTGTAGCGAAAGGCGCTGAAGTAATCACACGTACATTATTACAAAAACAGAAAGATGAACAAGACAAGAAAGTTAAACAGAAGACACAAGAAAAAGAAAAAAAAAATAAGTCGAAGAACAAGCCTGAACCTAATTTGACTAATTTTACTAAAACAAAATTTAGACAATCGAAGAAAACTGCTAAAATACCCGTGAAACGACTTAAAATG